CCTCTGTCCTACCTGAGACCCTCTGTCCTACCTGAGACCCTCTGTCCTACCTGAGACACCCTGTCCTACCTGAGACACCCGAGACCCTCTGTCCTACCTGAGATACTCTGTCCTACCTGAGACACTCTGTCCTACCTGTTGCCTCTGACTCTCTGTATTCAGCTCCTACATCAACAGATAGATTAAGTATTATGTTTTTACTGCCACCTGAATTCAGTCAGCTTTAAAAAGTCAAGTAAATAACGTGTAAATTATGAAGCTAGCAGATTAAATTACAGAAATAATCTGTGACTTATGAATATAAATTATAACAGGGAATCAATAAATATCATCAGAGTGGACCTGGACTCAATTTTAGCATTAAAATACTGTTTAACTGATTTAAAAAAAACCTCAATAATAGATAATGTCATCACTAAATGATTGCTAACGTTAGCTGATAGATAACTAGCAGCAAGCTAACTTTTCGTAAGAAAAGTAACTGTCCTGTCTTACATTTTGACTTGTTTTTGGTCCTTTGTAAAGAATAAAGTTTTTCCAGGAGCTGGACGTTATCAGACCATTACCTGCTCCAGTAGATCTGAAGCTCTGACCACCACGTTGTTTTACAGCAGGCGGCGAACCACCCCCCGCGCGTGTATCTGCGTGCGCGAGTGTACGTGTCTGCACTTCAGACTCTGAAGTTCAGAGAAAAGGAAGGGAGGGGGTGAGGTGGAATGTGTCGCAGGTTTGCAGTAGCGCTCCTGTATGGGATGAGAAGCACTAGCAGGAGCGGGGAGGGGGCGAAAGAGAGGAAGCAGCGCAGCTATTTTTTTTTTCTCGGAAAAGGTAGACAGAGCAGTTGCTGCTGCCTACTGTCAGGAAACGTAGATGCACGCAAAGGAAAAAAGATGTGCGAATATTGGTGGGGACTGTCCCTGTCTGGCCAAAGTTGAAAGTTACGCCCTTGGTTTAATCTGTTCAGGTGGGGGTCAAAGTGGGGGCAGCAAATGTAATAAGGGAGGGCATTGTCCCCTTTGGTTCCCTCTTAGCACCGCCCCTGATTTTCTTATTCCGCGCAACACAGGTCCTTTGAAGATAAAGAGCCGCACAATAAGCGTGTTGGGAGGAGTTTCCAGAACCGAGCGACCTCATTGGAAGSTGCGGGTAGCTGCACTGTAGACAAGTGAACCCTCATGAGAAAAACCAAAAGTCAATAAATTAAAACCAGCTGAGACGGACGGGGGTTTGTAAATACTTACATAATGACAAACACGGTAAGCCAAACGCCGTTTTACCATGTCTTGAAAACTGTATCCTTCCGCGACACTTGTTGCATCTTGATCGCGGTGTTACACAACCAATGCCTTGATGTTTGTTGGATTTTTGAGAAGATAGCAACTTATTTGCTGTCTTCTTGATTATTCACATGCAAAGAGCTACTTTAGCTGCTACACAAACTTCGGTACTACTTGTTGCTGCGTTCACACCGAANACTCTGTCCTACCTGAGACCCTCTGTCCTACCTGAGATACTCTGTCCTACCTGAGACCCTCTGTCTTACCTGAGATACTCTGTCCTACCTGAGACCCTCTGTCCTACCTGAGACACCCTGTCCTACCTGAGACCCTGTCCTACCTGAGATACTCTGTCCTACCTGAGACACTCTGTCCTACCTGAGACACACTGTCCTACCTGCTGCCTCTGACTCTCTGTATTCAGCTTCTACATCAACAGATAGATTAAGTATTATGTTTTTACTGCCACCTGAATTCAGTCAGCTTTAAAAAGTCAAGTAAATAACGTGTAAATTCTGAAGCTAGCAGATTAAATTAGAGAAATAATCTATGACTTATGAATGTAAATTATAACAGGGAATCAATAAACATCATCAGAGTGGACCTGGACTCAATTTTAGCATTAAAATTCAGTTTAACAGATTATAAAAAACCCTCAATAATAGATAATGTCATCACTAAATGATTGCTAACATTAGCTGATAGATAATTAGCAGCAAGCTAACTTTTCATAAGAAAAGTAACTGTCCTGTCCTACATTTTGACTTGTTTTTGGTCCTTTGTAAAGAATAAAGTTTTTCCAGGAGCTGGACGTTATCAGACCATTACCTGCTTCAGTAGATCTGAAGCTCTGACCACCACGTTGTTTTACAGCAGGCAGCGAGCCCCCCCGCGCATGTCTGCGCGAGTGTATCTGCGCGCACGAGTGTACGTGTCTGCACTTCAGACTCTGAAGTTCAGAGAAAAGGAAGGGAGGGAGGGGGTGAAGGGGACGGTGTCGCAGGTTCGCAGTAGCGCTCCTGTATGGGATGAGAAGCACTAGCAGGAGCGGGGAGGGGGCGAAAGAGAGGAAGTGGTGCAGCTACTTTTTTTTCTCGGAAAAGGTAGACTGAGCAGTTGCTGCTGCCTACTGTCAGGAAACGTAGATGCACGCAAAGGAAAAAAGATGTGCGAATATTGGTGGGGACTGTCCCTGTCTGGCCAAAGTTGAAAGTTACGCCCTTGGTTTAATCTGTTCAGGTGGGGGTCAAAGTGGGGGCAGCAAATGTAATAAGGGAGGGCATTGTCCCCTTTGGTTCCCTCTTAGCACCGCCCCTGATTTTCTTATTCCGCGCAACACAGGTCCTTTGAAGATAAAGAGCCGCACAATAAGCGTGTTGGGAGGAGTTTCCAGAACCGAGCGACCTCATTGGAAGCTGCGGGTAGCTGCACTGTAGAGAAGGAACCCTCATGAGAAAAACCAAAAGTCAATAAATTAAAACCAGCCGAGACGG